TGACCACAAAAAAGGACATGAAACGGTGCCTAACCACCTTCCTCACCAGGGAGATGCAGACAGAAGCACCGGGGATTGTGGCACTGAGCATGCGCCTCACTCGGAACAGACCCGGCGGCCCCTTACAGGGGGTACTCTGCAAACCCGGTGGGCAGGGGTCCTGCGTCTCTCTTCAGGCAGAGCGGGAAAGAGTACAGAGAGGTCGAAAACAAGCAAACAAACACATAATGAAGCAGATATATAATTTCAGGCAATCAGCGCTACAGAGTAAAAGAGAACCCAGACAAGCAGGGTGGGTTAAGAATTTGTGATAGCACCGCCCACACAGAAATTCCACTAAGGTGCTTCACTTGCATTCTCTCCTCTAATCCTCTTAACACCTACCTGACGTACAGTTGTAACCCACATTTTAATAATTAGAAGAGAACAAGGAATTTGCTCAAAGACTTGGGACTCTTTGATTCTAAGTGGTATGGCATAATGCTATTGAGTGTGGAAATGAAGCTATTTTTTTTTAAGTTCTAATTGTTAGACTTTAAGTAGCAGTTTGAATTTTGGGCTCCCAAGTAGGATCCCCTTAGTTTCTCCACAGAAGACAAAGGAAACCCAGAATTACCTGAAAGGGAAGAGAAAGAGAGAGAAGGCAAGTGGCAGAAACTTTGTTTTCCTGAAATGTCACTGGCTCTATTCAGTCTTTCTTATACCCCAAAAGCTAAAGAACCGCTCTTTATCAAGAGAATTACAGTTCAATGCTTTTCTTCCAGGAGTCTTTTAGAAGGCATTCCACTGTCTTCAAGCTTTCAAAATCGTAAATGGAAAGTCTTCTGTCTCCTTTTTGCCCTCTAGTAGGCAACTTATTCTTCCTACAGGGAAAATTCATCCCTCTCCCACAGGGCGTCCGTCTTCCCTCGGAGACGCCCTGGAACTCCATCCGCCTTTTCCCTCTGAAGACCTGGGTTTCTCTCTGCTTATCGTTTGTTTAATTGTTGCTAATCTCTTCCATCAGTTATTTTTTCCTTCTGGAACTCCTATCCAGACATAAGGCTTTATAATAAAAAATTTTAGGTTTAGATTTCTTAGGTTTACTTACCTTTTCCTTCATAATTCCCATATGCTAACATATGGGAATATGCTAACATACAGGAATCATATGTGCTGGGGAATATTTCTTGCATGTGATTTTCCAGACTACTAATATGTGCTTTCTTTAAATCACCGACTTAATTTTTTACTTTAGAAAACTACTAGATGTTTTCTGGCCCCAAGAAGTTTCTTCCATACTACCTTTAGTTCCCCTGGGGGGCCCTTTCATTTTGATCTTTTCATGCAGGTGTTCATCTGACCCCTTTAAGCAGTCCTGGATGTGTATTCTGGCTGTCACTCAATCTTCCTCTCTGGCTGACAAAGGCTGTTATTTTCATTAGGCTTTCTGGACTTCAAGTCTAGATGCTGGGGTGTTCCAAACACTGAAAATCCCACAGCTGTTAGCAAGCCAGGCATCTCGATTATCCTTCGGGACTGTTTGCTGTGGAAGCCAGCGAGCTCTCTGTTCCCTGCTGAGGAACCCAGAAATCTCCAAAGAAAACATGCTCTGTCCTCTTCTCCCTCGACAATCAGAGTATAAGGAGAGATGGGAGTGTAGTACACACGTAAATAGTGTGAAGGCAGTGGGAATTTTTATATAAAGATTCAAGAGATTTCTTTATTAGTTTAAAGGTCCTGTAATAGAACTTCCACTTAGTTATCTTTTCAAGATCTCTGTATCAGTTTTATGCATTTGGAAATATCAGAAACCAACTGTGTCCACCTGAACAGAACTGACAGGAGGGTGGAGGACCAGTCTCGGAAAATAAATTAAAAACTATAGAGCAAGTAGAAGGGAGCACATTATGTTAGCAGGAACATTATGGGCAGGCCACTGCCAACCCTTTTGCAAAAAGCTGCTGCTGTGAAATATTCCTTAGTATCTCTAAGACTTTTTGGACTCCGGAAGGGTGTGTCTGGCTGACCACCCCTGGGCTGTCCGACCGCCAGGGGTGGGAGGAAGGGAGGTCTGCGCCCGCAGGGTTCTGCAGCCCTCCCCACGACGACAGCGCGTCGTTGTCTCACCTCTCTAAAGCCAGCAGAAAAAAAAGAAAAAATAAGAACACACGTCCATTATACCTCCCAGATCTTACACCAGATAGTTTTGTGAAAGATGTATCTAAAATTTGCTTTTAAAATGGAATTTGAAAGCACTAACACCCAGAGACTCCCAAAAAATCATGACATATTTTCAGAAAAGCCATTATACCTGGGAGTAGGAGAAATGAATACAATCTAAAGGCAGAAAATGTTGATTTCTAAAGTAAATTAGATTTGTTAAATATGATATAAAATTATATCATCAACTTTGCCATAATGAACTCCAGCATTTAGAGTATTTTAAAAAATAATCTCAGGTATATTTTGTTCTTTTCAATGGTAACTAAATAGCATCTATGAAAAGTAACATGGCTTCTTAGACTTTTAAATGGGTATTTTAAAAAATGTCAATAAAGGGTAAACAGGAGAAACTAGGAGTCTGTATCACACAGCAGTAATAATTTGAGATTTTAGCCATAATAATAGTAATAATAGCAATCGATATTTACTTAATGTTCACCAAACCAGGTACTCTAAGTACTTTCCTTTACATCTGTCATCATGCTGACCCTCCCAAGAGCCACGTGAAGTATGCCTAGTATTCCCGTTTCACGTGCAATGGAACACAGAGGTCAGGGAAGCAGCCCCCGACCTCACATACTGCTGGTAGCTGGTGGGGTCAGGATGAGTCCACAGCACCGTGCTTTGCAGCAACCCACCCTGCCAGTGGTAACGTGGCTTGGCTCTACCGTCATAAATACCAAATGTATTCACTATTCTGTATAGAGATGTGATTAATCTAAAAATAACCAAGCCAGCATTTCACCATCTAATCAAAAACCTTTTTAAAATGAAGTTTACATAGTAATCTCTCAAAATCATTATTCACATGAAAGGGGTAGGGGGCACAAGGCTTTCAATTCTTTTACCCAGTTGTCCCCAAGTGGAAATACGCCTAACAGAAACATTTCATGGTTCCTAACTACACTCAATTCAGAAAGTATGATGCATAAGCTACCAGAGGTTTCAGTGCACCTAAGGATAAAATTAATAGGTTCCTGAAAGCTAATTAAGTGTGCAGAAGGGTCTACAACCACTCTTCTTGTTTCCCATGATAACGGTGTTACATGCTTTAATAGTAGGAATAGCCTCAATTATATTTTGATTATAGTTTCAAAGGAGCCCTTCTCCTTCCCTCGACTTTTACAACACAGCGTAAGAACTTACACGGAAGGAGGGCGGTGTGTGCCAAAGCCTACTGAGGGCTGCAGGACCAGAGGACTGTGGGAATCCACCCTTGAAAAACCCAAATCCCACATCTCGTCATTTATCTCAACAGGACCAGGATAAAGGGAACATATATATTATATACTTTGGAAGTGGGATCAGGAGAAGGAAAAGGAGAGGCACATTCATTTCAATAAGATATTAAAAGCACTAGTAGAATGAAAAATTCAGAGAGGTACAGATAAGAAAATAGAACACTGAAGCATAGAAAGGAGAATATTGCAAGGTGAAAACTGTATAAAATTCTATGGCTAACAACAGAAAACTCCAACATAGGTAACAAGGTAAAGCAATAAGGGATGAAGGTAAGGAAGTCCAAAGTCTAGAAGATTAGAGGAGAATACAAATCAAGTCCCACAGTAGTTATTACACAGTAACTAACCACAACTAACTTAATTTCAAGCTTTTCGGGGCAATTTTATGTAAGGACTTAGTCCAAGATATGGCTGTTTTAGTGAGAGACTTAGGAGGCAATGAATGGAAGACGTCAACAATCAAAAAGGACAGGGCATCCCAATGGCCGTGCCAGTGGATGTCAGCGGGACAAAGGTAATGATAAAATATGATAAAAACACTGTATGTGAAGCGCTGCAATAATCTGAGAAAAACCGAGATATGTTCAAGTCTGTAAAAAATGGCTATTAAGAGGGAGAAAATCTTAACGGCACCAACACTCTACCTTTGAAAATGACATACAAATTTGAGTTTTATCATAAAGATAACTAACTAAATGGTCCAGGTAGACAATTATGGAAACCAGCTTGCCGTGGGCTAAACAAACGCCCACCACCTTGACTTTGAAGAAGTAGATGATACATGCAAGAGAAACTATGCTTGCCCTCTAGAAGCTGGTTTTAGGTTTTTAAAATGAAAAATGTTATTCAATAAAGCAAAATCTAAATTTTATATATATTCTGATATATAAAAGAGAAAGAAGTGCTGATTAAATACAGTTTCATATAATCTCAATACTTACAATGGTTGAAAAGTTCATTCTGTTTGAAATTGCTTTTCCTCTAGACTGTGGCACACGATGAAAATATTAAGCTCTGAACTACTGTGTTTGAACTACTCACTCAAAGCTTTCCAGTCCTAATAAAATGGTTGGTGCTCAATTTTAGCAACATAAAGAAAAAGGCTTTGCATTAGTACTTGATAACTTTCGTTGACTCAAACTAAAGCTTCCAAATATGTCATCCAATTCAGTTAAGATTTTGTGCTTTATAATGGCTCTCACTGAAGCTAGGATAGAAAATTTGCTGTCTCTCAGAGACGGTATATTAACTAAATTTGATAATAGTAATCTATCAAAATTTAGTTCCACACCAGTTAGCATCTGACTTGCACTTGGAGAGTTAACGTTACGAATCTTATTCTTAACCAACTATAGATTACCATCTCTTTATTTCGCTTTTGATGGAAAAATGATTGCTTCTAAGAATAAGAAGCAATAAAACCCTCTCTAGTTATTATTCTAAGGGAACACTACTTCACCACAAGAAAAACACAAGAGAAAACAGTAACCTTTATTTAAGATTTTATATAGTCAGGTTAATCTCGCAATTTAGATATCCTCAAATAACACTTACCAATACACACATCGATCTTCCCTTTAATAGCAGCTTCATGCAGAGGAGTGTAGTTCCAATTATCCCTGGCATTCGGATCGGCTCCTTGGCACAGCAACAGACTCACAACCTCAGCATGGCCGAAAGAGCAGGCGTTATGCAGTGGGATGAGACCTCCGTCATCACGGGCATGCACGTTAGCACCCATCTGCAGTAAATGTTCTACAACGTCCTTCCTTCCAAAACCTGAAAATAAATAGGGAAACTATCTTAAACATCAAATCAATTTGGGAAAAAGATCCAGTAGAATTCCTTTAACAGTACCAACAAATAAGAACTGAAGTGCTATCTCCTAAAAAAAAGGTTTGAAAAAAAAAAAGCTAACATTCAAATGGGCTCTCATTTCACAAAACTTAGAACCGACAAAGCTCTTTTTCTTTGGACTTTGGGCAGTGCATTCAAAAGTGCACATGTATTTATTCAATACCTCTGTGTGCTGTGCTGGGCAACAGTGCCAGACAAGGCTCCTGCCCAAGGCATGCACTAGCCCCTCATGCTTCACAAGACAAAATCAAACATATAAAATCCACCGCTGTATTTTGAGAGATAAAGATTATTTAAATACTACTGAAAACCAAATCACAAGACTCAACATTATATTAGGGAAACTGGAGAAAAATGTATGGATGCGGTGATAGTCTATTTACAAGTTATTTAAAAACGAAGAACCGAAGTTAATACCAAAATATCTCCTCTTAGGGCTAGCGGCCAAACTGAATGAAATAGATGCCTAAGTGAAACAATTCCAGCTTGGAGTTACTGAGTCTGAGGAAACAACAGGACGAACGAAATGGAAATGCAGGCATTTGAAAATACATAACCAAAACACTAGTAAGAGTACCACAATTTTTAGACAGAAAGGGGGAGGGGGGAGAGGGGAGAGCCCCAATGACCCCAGCCAGCATGAGGACTGGTGAGCACTGACAAAGGTCTGCAACACCATGCAAGGACGACATTATGGAAGTCAGAGGGCAGCAGCACCGGGCAGTGTCCAGCGCAACAAGGATTTTAGTGAGGTCAACGGAGAAGGGAAAAAACAGCCAATGACAATTTTAAATTAATTGTATTACAGGGATGAAATTACAAGCTACATTGCAATGGGTAAAAAAAAACCCCCTGCAAATATTAGCATTTTTAGCTTTACCTGCTAAACCCTTATTAATGATTCTTTCCTACTTTGAATTTTATTAGGTCTTATTGGCTAGGTGTCAGCACCTCCATGCTATTACTTGCTATGTAATATTGTTAGAAAATAGCACCTTTTTTTTTTTTAAAGATTTTATTCATCCATTTTTAGGGAGGGAAGCGAGAGAGAGAGAGAGAGAGAGAGAGAGAAACATCAATGTACGGTTGCTGGGGGTTATGGCCTGCAACCCAGGAATGTATCCTGGCTGGGAATCGAACCTGGGACACTTTAGTTCCCAGCCCGCGCTCAATCCACTGAGCTACGCCAGCCAGGGCAGAAAATAGCATCTTAAATAAAACCAAAAAGCAGTAAAAGAGTCATATCGTCCTCCATTTTATGCATACACAAACTAAATAATTGTGTGAAAAACAGAAAATTTGAAAAGTGTATTTCAACATATGTCCTACACACTAACTACTGTAAAAAGTCACCAGAGTAAAAGATAAGTTTCCACCGATACATATCAAAGTGAGAATTAGGTTTCCATGGAAAATACCCTTCAAATTAAGCTGATATTTTGGGGAGAGACTGCGCGAGGCTCTGAAGAGAGCTGCTTACTCTGGGAGGAGACAGACTGGAGGTGTGTACTTGGAAGTACAGTCCACGACTGTCAGGACGGAAGGGAGGAACCCTCGATGATAGAACGAGGGTAAAGGTGTCCCCACAAGGGTGTTTCCACAAGGAGCTAATGCATGTTGGGCATTTGTCGTAGTTCGTGACACAGCTAAGAGCTTAGTAAATGATAGCTACTTACCATTATTACTGTGATTGTTGTTGAGAAAAAGGCATGTATACTGAGCCGAAGATTTCTTCAGTAAAAGTTAAATTATACCTTTTGTACACCTCTCTGAGTGGAGGTCTTTCCAGCACATACTGTGTGTGGGTAAAAATTAGAGTTTTACACGGTCTTAATTTTTAGTGACCATTGCTGGATAAGAGAGGGACAGTTCATTGATTTTTCTTCTGCACTTTAAAAAGCTGAGCCATACATGAGTGCTTAAGTGGCAACGTTATTTCTTTTCAAAGCATGACTTAGGTCTTTTTTAAACACGTGCAACCCTGATGGGACGGGACACTGAGGGTCCGGTCTGTGCTGTGTGTCTGGGATATTTTCACATACGGGTGTCTTCCTGCGAGTCCAGTAGTGATGAGTCACTTCAAACTCTAAGGAGTGCTTTGAACTGATCTTATTTATTTATTTATTTTTGGCTCTTTAAACCCGAATAAGCAAATCAATTATAGGGATGATTATGACCATACACTTTGGCTATGAAACAAAGGCCTTATGTAACCATCAGAAGTAATGCATTCTCTTTATGTGTGAACAATAATGTGTAAGCATTTAACATTGATAGAATGATGAACGACTCTGCTTTGTACTCAGTGGAACAGGGAGAGTGTATGTTGAATAAACTTTAACAAAACCTCTGATTGAATAATGAATTTGAGTAATTGAAAACAATCGGAGATGACTTTGTAATTGCCACGTAAAATGTCTTTACTGATTTTGACTGTTCACCTCACCTCCTTTTATAAATTTGTGTGCGCATACACATGATATATTTTATACAAAAATTGTGTTTTTATATAAAACAGTTAAACAGAAACATTTCATAATTCTACTTGTGATTTAGTCTCTTTGTCTATCCATCTATACTTCCAGTATATATATTTTTCCTTCTATATTTTATATTTTATGTTTTTATTTTAAAAGACTGATTAATCTACAGAACAACTTCTATGTTTTTTAATGTTATACAGCAGTGGGCAAAAGCAGGTTTACAGTTGTGCATGCAAAACATTTCATTCTTGTGTTATGATTTATTAGTTATTACATTATTCATTTGTATTACAACTGTAAACCTACTTTTGGCTGCGCTGTATAATATCTTATTTTTTTCTTGTGTATATGGTTTATCCCCTTTTTGGTGAATTTTAAAAATTATGGTAAAATATATACATTTTAAAATGTTAAAATTTTGTTCAAAACTAAATTGGTCATTTTAGCCATTTTAAATCTAAAATTTAGTGGCATTAAGTACATTCATAATGTTCTATCACATCCTTTAATACAGGGCAATGTATTATATGAAAACCATCATTTATTTAACAGAGCCTTTATTTTTGGACATCTAAATTTTTTCCATAGTTTCCTGTAAATAATGTTATGACAAACATTCTTGATGCAAAATCTTTGTTCATATATGAGATTTTTAAATGCTAAAATTTGAAAAGTGATATTGTTGAGTCATAGGGTAAACGTGCTTAAGCCTGTTGATGATAATGCCACTCATCCTAAAATATTGTACCAGTTCATACATTATCATTATCGATGTGAGCATAATTCAGTTTCTCTACATTCTTTCTGATACTAAGCAATTTTTGTTTCATTTTCTATTGTAGATCAAAAAGTTTTAATAAAACTTTGATGTTTTGCTTCAAGTTAAATGCATATTTTTTAAATATCATTTTAAAATATAAATTGCATATGCAATGCAATTGATGAGTTATAAAGTGCCTTATTTTAACTTTGCTTGTTAGGGAAGAAAGGACATTTGTTCTCAGACATTGTTAATGCATTATTTAGGGAACTATGAATTTGTACTCAGGCTTTACTCGGATTTATAAAGGAGGAGGTCATTAAATCTTCATAAATAAAGAAAGCACCTGTGGCCCATGGAGGCCTAGGGCTGTGAGAGTCAGGAACAAGGATAGTGAAGTTAGAGAATTAAACAGGACCAACAGCTGTAAAGTTCTGCAGATATTAAAAAACAGAAAACAGGCAGCAAGATAGTTACATTAGCATGTTCCCTACACTTCTGGTGTTCCAGTTACTAATAAAAAATTGACCTACTTTCACCCCAAAATTTCAGCTTAATTTGAAGGGTATTTTCCATGGAAACCTAATTCTCACTTTGATATGTATCAGTGGAAACTTATCTTTTACTCTGGTGACTTTTTTCAGTAGTTAGTGTGTAGGACATATGTTGAAATACACTTTTCAAATTTTCTGTTTTTCACACAATTATTTAGTTTGTGTATGCATAAAATGGAAGAAGATATGACTCTTTTACTGCTTTTTGGTTTTATTTAAGATGCTATTTTCTAACAATATTACATAGCAAGTAATAGCATGGAGGTGCTGACACCTAGCCAATAAGACCTAATAAAATTCAAAGTAGGAAAGAATCATTAATAAGGGTTTAGCAGGTAAAGCTAAAAATGCTAATATTTGCAGGGGTTTTTTTTTTACCCATTGCAATGTAGCTTGTAATTTCATCCCTGTAATACAATTAATTTAAAATTGTCATTGGCTGTTTTTTCCCTTCTCCGTTGACCTCATTAAAATCCTCATTGTGCTGGACACTGCCCGGTGCTGCTGCCCTCTGACTTCCATAATGTCGTCCTTGCACGGTGTTGCAGACCTTTGTCAGTGCTCACCAGTCCTCATGCTGGCTGGGGTCATTGGGGCTCTCCCCTCTCCCCCTTTCTGTCTAAAAATTGTGGTACTCTTACTAGTGTTTTGGTTATGTATTTTCAAATGCCTGCATTCCCATTTGTTCATACAGCTTCGAACTGGTCTCTCTCCGCTGTCACATCTGCCGCCCTACAATTCATCCTTTCAGAGCAGGCAGAGTGGTCTCTTCAGGGCATAGATCCCGGCTTGAGATTCTGCAATGGGTTCCCAGGACACATACAATAAAATATTAATACAAACTCCTGTGACCTGCAGGGCTTTATGTCAGCTGGCCCTTCTCACCTAATCTCCTGCCTCCCATTAAGTTTCACTCACCCTTTCACTTTCTAGTCCCTGAGTGTGACAAAGTCCTTTCAGGCTAAGGGACTTTGCACTTGCTCTGTGCTCTGCCTGAGGACCTGGGACCCAGACCCTCATGTGTCTATCTCCGTCTTTCATCCAACTCAGAGACAGTCTGGCCACCAAACCTATCTAAAGTCACTCACGTTCACACACACTTTCCCATCGTTTTCAGTATCATTC